ATTACTGGCTCGTTTCGTCGCCCATTGTTTCGTTTCTGTTTGGTAAATTGTTGGTCTAGGGGGTGTACCCCCCGCTCTATTCATACCCATCCGCGATGCAAAATGATGGAAAACCTTGCGGTGAAGAAAAAACGATTCGCATAATTCCATGTCGCTGGAACTAAAGTTCACGACGGCCTGGCCTGGTAAAGTGGCAGCACTCGGGGACCATATTAAAACCTCGATAGAAGAAGGGAAGAGACAGAGAAGACAGCAGAGGGAGGGTAGGGAACTTAAAGAGAAGGTTGAGTTCTGGGAAGAGGTGAAAAATAATTTGTGAGCATTACTCATTCTTATCATGCAAGTGTAGAAGAACATCAGTTAAGACATGTTCCCTGAAAAGCATGGCTCTTCAAATGCCTTCATATTCTAAATATGCATGTAACATGGTAAAAATCGGGGGCCGGCTTTTTACGCCACGTGTTCGCGTAGTCCCATATACATCTTTCTGTGCAAGTGTTTGTAACTTTACCAAGACTTGGCCAAATTTCTTATCATTTTGATGATTCCAGAACCTTGCAATACACACAAATTCTTATATGCTAGATGATCAACCTTTTCTGGTCGATTCCACACCGTTTCTTTCACAATGCAATCGCATGACCAGAACTCAACTTCATCTTTAACGATCGGGGGAACTTAAAGGCGTGGAAGCTGTGGAGAGCAATGTGGCGACGGGGTCGGGGCAGTGTGCAGCCCAAACTACGTCGGGATTCGACAATATTTGCAGGCCTTCCCTTTTCTGTCTTAGTCTGTAATTCTGTATCTTTTATCACCTGATGTGCCCCTGCAAAACGAAAACAAAGGACTATCAATGTATACAGTACTATTTATATTTGTTTACAACACCCGTTCCATGAATAATTTGTATGCAAAGTGGTAGAATTATCATCTCTACAAAAGAAAAAAGACAAAAATGCTTGCCACCTGCCCATCTAGAACACATGGATCTTTACATGTCTACATGAGTATGTTGATACTGCGAGTTACTAGGATTCTAACCTGAAATCAGTTGACTCTTAGTCGGGTCACCCATCCACGAGGGACATGACCCCCAAGACAAGTTTCCAGATCAACCAGTCATTCAAGTTACAAACCAACGTCATCAATCATAGCATTCAAGAATGATGGTAGTAGATTCAATATGAATAATCATCCACCCTTGACACTGGTAAAATCAAAATAATAATGATAATAAATTAATCTAAAGTTCAATAGCTGAAGCGTGAAGCTTTTGACTGCAGCCATCACAATGATTTTGATCCCATGTTATGCCTGGGAAGGTACCCTTGAAATTAGTTTAGCAATTTCGGACAAGGAAATACATGGATTGTATTTTGATGAATTATACTGGTGCTCTTGTTGGGAGGCAATCGCTTATTGTTGCATTGATCACCTGCAAACACCACAAATATTAGTATTCATGTGATTTGGGGTTGGGCGATGATAACGGTTTAATATGACGACGTGCATTTGCAAGGGGGATTTTTTTCTTCAGTGATTGCTGCAAATTTCACATCGTTATTCCCTCACAAGCAAAAACAAAAGGGTATCATATTTTTTCAGAGGGCAGGGGATGGGGTCCTCGCCATTGCCCGGTATGGATGCATGCGAACGGGGCAAATTGTGTCAGGAATGCTCCCCGGAAGTGGAGATGGTGCACATGGTATCTTTGAGGCTTGAAATCCAGCAACCAAGCACTCATGTAGAGGCCTATTATACACTAATCGAAAAGGTGGGTTGAACTGACCCAATGTGGGGGTAAAAAGGTTGTTTTAATTGCTACTCATTATTACATGTAGGTAAACTTTACTTGGTTTTTGGAGTACTGTACATCTAACAGTGACTCAATATTGGGTCAAAGTTTGTGAAATAAACATGCATGTCCCCCTTTTAACCAATATTGGGTTAAATTTTGGTCAACTCTATATAAGTGTAAAATATAATGACTATTTCCCCCTAACGCCTCAAATAGTACAGAGTATAGTGCCTCTATTATTTCTATTTTCGTGTTATAATACATCCACCTGACATTGAACTTCACAGCCAGTGCTGGGCCGTATGGTTGCATTGGACTAGTCTGCGTGCGCATACTCTAATTTGAGTCTTAAACACGATATCCTAAAGCCTTGGGCCGAACCTAGCTCTATCAGCCTCTGACTATGTCAGCAGTTAAAGTGCAAAGCCTATGGAGCGCAGTAGATTGGTAGACCGTGTAGTCTGCGCAGTCTCACAATTTCCAGACACGCTGCTATACGCACGACTACTGACAAGGAGGCTGAACCGGCAGACTAGCCCGAAACCGTGTGAACATGGGGATGTGACGTGTCAATGTCTGGGGGTCACTGTACTATTCTGTATACCAACTGTCTCACAGGGATAGCGAGAGGGAGAGAGAGAAAGAGAGAAGCGTGATCATAGACAATATAGATCGGCTTAAAATAGACAGCAGCAACGTGACAATACACCTACGACAGTTCGTATAATCGGACACGATGGTCTACAAAATTTATGAAACTAACACATTTTGAAAAATAGTGTTCCATATAGAATAGATACATTTTTAATCATAGTTTCCTGTTTCCCTCTTTTGTCTCTGCTATTTTTGTCTTTTGGTTTTGTTGTTCTTTATCGTCTTTTGTTGTTATTGTGCTGTTCGTTGTCTTGTTTGTTTTAAGTCATGGAATTCCTTGTTTGCATTGAATTCTCATTGGTTAATTTCTTTTGTCGTGGTTTCCGCATAGTTCTTAGTCTCTGTTTGCTTTTCTCATCGGTTTTTAAATCATACTCGATCGATAAGCTCGGATATGAAATGATGCAAGCTTACACAAATGATAACGTGCGTCTACAGGTATACGTTATATTTTCTTTTCGAAGGGGAGGGTATTGATATCAAATAATCAACCTATTCGTGATGATTATTTGATTACCTAATTCTACCCGTGAAGCAAGGGCACAGGAAAAGACAGGGGTCGATATCCGTCTATTTCGAGACGGGTTTTTAGGAAAGACTGATTTTATTAAGCGAATTTAAGGTTCGGCACCGGACGTCATCATTTGAAGCGAAAATGGGTCGTAGCCCAACGTGGGCGGCTTGATTTCTGATCGTTATTTTTTTTTTTTAGAAAGAGGTGAAGGCGCTAGCCAGTTCACGAAACAAAAGGCATATCTATGTTATCGAAAAAGGGCTAATCCCATAATAAAAAGTACAAAGTGCTTTAACTTATCATGAACACAAATGTCATCCATCATGCGTGCCAAAGAGAGATACACCCAGCAAAAACGACACGTTTTTGTAAGTTTTGGTTTCAAAATAATCATGGGGACTCTTTTTCAAATGCGCGGATGTTATAAACATTTACATGGAATGAACGGTATACATGAGAACGCGACAAATCGAACTTTCCAATACCAACATATCCGATATGGCAAAGAGATATGCGTTTATACCGAGATAAAACTTCGAAATCCATTACTAATGAATGTACTAACAAGAGCATAATGTTGCTTGGCAGACACGTGACACTTTGGACGATATCATATCTTGTGGATGCAAGGATAGTTGTCAGGGTGAGATGGCCAAGGGTATCATCTGTCCGCATCCGTTGTCCAAGGGAAGTCGTAGAAATTATCATGTTGCTGGCGTAGCTAGCCACGAGAGCCATTGGGCACGTGTCTATCCTTCCCTTCGAATGGCTTTATAATAATTTATAAAACAATAGCCATGAAGACCGCCCCACGAAAAGAAAAAAAATCTTTTAGATAATATGAAAATAACGTGAGATAGAAAAGCAAAGAAAATTGATATTGATAAAAGCCAGACAGTGTTAATAATTCTATCAGGTTTTTACAAAGTTTCACTACTTCATCATTTGATTAAAAAGAAGGTGGTGGTTATTGGTATCAACCTAATTGCGCCCGCCCATTCTAGGAAACTCTTCTTTCCTGGTGACTACACCCCTTATATACCAAAACCAGACATTCTCTGCTTGGCGAGGCAATACCTGGATACCAGCAAATCATTTTAAGCGCACCTCAATACGTCATAGCTGACTGGATGCCACCTTCTAAAGGCGGCACGTAAATGTTTTAATCGTCACCGCGCGCCGTTGAGTTGATCTACATTCAGAAACCGTTGGCACACGGCCCATTCTGAAGTTGTCTCTCGGTGATAACGGTCGCATCAAATCAAGGCTTCCCTCTGCACATCACCATCATCCCATTGTTTCGTTGTAAACGGTTTATATTTCACCCGTTTGTTAACGGATCTGGTTCAGTGTGATTTGTAGAGAAGCAGTGCTTTTGTTTCGGCTCTGCTCATTTCCTTCCATAGCTGCGGAACTCGACGTACGTGTGTGCTTTGGTCGCCGTCAAACTGTCGCTTGTCGTTCAAATCTCATTTAGGTATACCGGGATTGTCTGGAAATTATTTCGTGTAGGAAAGAGAGAAGAAACGTTTTAACTTTGGATAAGATCATTTCGTTTTTATGATTTTGATGTCTATCGTTTAATTCATCTTTAAGGGAAACATTATGAATGTTTTAAACATTCAAAAGAGACTTTCGATACTTCAATTTGGATATGATGTATGTGTATAGTCTGATTTCATAATGATGAAAAAGATTATATGCATATAACGATTTGAATTCAGTGGACTATTATTGAACTTTTCCGTCATATTTTGTTTCTCCGATTGAGGTTTCAACAGGGCACCAACCATAAAAGCCACATATACAAATGGCTTTGCTAATATTTCTTTTTGTTGTTGACGAGTTGAATTAAGAAGACTATCATTGAAATTTTCCTCCATATTCGTAAATATGCCGTGCAGTTTTCCTCCACCCACCATTAAAATTGAACCGACAAATTGAAATATAAAATATGTTTGTAGCACGTTGAATCATTTAGACTGTTACTGTGGTTATTTAATTTTCCTTTTCCTTTTTGTATTTTCTGTGCAGTTTTCGACGGGTTCCCCAAGCATGAAGGTTGGCGAGTTACCGTTCGCACTCCACCGGAGGAGCTGCCCGTGGAGCAGTCCGACAACATCAACGGACCAAAACAGCAACAACCAGCAGCAATCGCCCGCACACCAGCGGCCATCACCACTCACAGCGTTACTCTTCGAAGCCAATGAGTCATCGTCATCGTCACCATCAACCGGTACATCGCCGCCCGATCCTGCCTCAACGACGACAGCCACAACGACCACGCCGCCGATGTTCACATCGCAACGCTGTACGTGTCCGTGCAGCGACTGCGTGAAACTGGATCGCGACTCGCAGTGTGGCATGGATATGGACTTAGCGCGTTGGTTGACGAAATGCGCCGAATTCGGCAATGGACACACGGGTTTGGCTAACATCAACGCACACGACAGGCAAATACTGGTGTGCTCCGCCTGGAAAGACATTGTCATTCTGTACATGGCACAGAACAAGTTCAATTTCGACGTGGTCTTCGCTGGCATGCATGAATACCTTGAAGACATACCCCTACACCAGTACGTTCAGACGACACATTACCAGGTTGACTCGCAGTTCCAGGGAGATTTTATTGCAAAGACGGGGGTAGTTTCTCAGACCTATGTGCATCCGCTAAGGAGAGGGAGTGATTATGGAATACCGACCATGAGAACTGTTAACCAGCTCCAGTTCACGTTATCAAAGCTGAATCAGATGCAACTTGACTCGAAGGAATACGCCGTACTGAGGATACTGCTGCTCTTAAATTCAGGTATGTTCCATGAATGGCTCATATATTTTCTCTATAATTAGCTAGACAAGCAGAGAAGAGAGTGCAAAATTATCCATAAAGGTTCGAAGGGCAATGTAAGACTAACACAGGAGGCGACCCAACATTTGCTCAGGGTTTCTTTTTTTTGTCAAAGATAAACGTAAGGTTTTGGTTGTCATTCGGTTTAAGGTTTAGGGAATAGATTTTTCACCCCAGATGCAGATAGGAAATTTGGTTGAGCTTGGTGTTGGAAAAATTAACCGTGAAAATTGGTTGCAGGAGCTTGTGTCCTCGAGTGCTGTAATAAGGTACGCAAATTTTAGTCAGAATATAATAATCATCAAGGACGAAACGACCGTCCTGCGTTCAATGATATGTTGCTATAAACTTGTAACGATGTGTTGGACCAATGTGTCATATTTGTATTCGCACTGATAAGTCCTATGTCCCCAAAGTATTGAGACGATGTGCCATATGACCAATGAACACTTTGGACTATCGATTGTAACCGTTTTGTTCAGTAGCTTATTCATGTTCGGATCTGAACGGAAAATCGGATCTGAGTGACGTCATAATGAGGTTGAGCGATCACGCTTCTGCGTTTCTGTGAGGCTCTTTTGAACCACATACGCAACTGCTTGTGAATTCGTGGAGTGACCTTGGAAGAGCCTCACAGAGACGCAGAAGCGTGATCACTCCATATCGTGCTATTCTCCAGCTCATAATACAAAAGCACAGTATATACCAATAACAGCGATCAGTACTATTATAATTGCCATGAACTCTGTGATGTTTTTAGAAAGTGCATTACCGTTTCGCCGTATTCGATGTTTTGGCATCCGTTTGTGTAGGGAAACCACAGAGATGTACGCCGATGATCAGGCGTTGTTTTAATTGCATTCGCTGAACTAACCAATTTACTGAAATATTTAATACCTCGGTTCTCAGTCACACCGACGAGACCGACGCCAGACTGACTAAAAGACAGAAAAACTACATTACCCCAAATTTATCACGACTTTGTCGCTAATTGGTCAGTTTAGGGTCGGTTTTGATAATGTGACAGGGGTATTGCAAGCACACGCTTACATAAAGATTAGCCTATGTCATTAATTAATATCATTTCTTTTTTTTTGTCTTCCCACAGACCTGCATTCCTTGACCGACAGCCGAGCGATAGAGGTGGCCAGCGAGAAGGTCCACACGGCCTTGATGGAGTATGAGACCCTCAAGTACCCCGATGACCCGCTTCGGCTCTCCCACATGCTCCTGCTTCTGCCTGGTGTCCGGGGGTTCAGTGCGGCCGTGTTTGAGAACCTCTTCTACCATCACCTGATCGGAGACACCAGTGTCACGTCGGTACTCCGGGAACTCATGGCTCGGTAACCGACCATGTCCCCAGCTGCCCAGCATGAAGGACAAAATAGCCTTTGAGGAAATCACCAAACGTGAAGTGCATGCTCTTCTTGTCAGACTGAGGACTTGGTACCGGTCTCGCACTGGTACGCTTCTATCTCCTACAAACTGTAAGCTACTGTCAGGAGAGCATAGCCAATCATCATGGTAGAACTTGCTGCGTATAGCTCTTTCTCTTGATGCATAGTAGGTGTTAAAGACAGTCTTTAGACTTGGGACGTCTTGATGCCTTTTTAGAATATTTAGGCGACGCCATGTTTATTCTTCTGGTCCATGGGTTCATAGCGTGCGTGAAATTAGGTGCCACCATCAACCATAAGTCGTATTGACCTCACTGATGTGCCATTGTGACGTTACAAGGTCAGAGGTCAATGTCAAGGTGATGCTTATCATCCTCTGTGGAGGTTGTACGGCCACAGGAAACACCATGTTTAGGAGTTGATATCTGCAACACCGTAGAGGCCATTCCAGACCACAAAACATTTGTTTTGACTGGCCACCATATCAATACGTTAGGAAGCTTGACTTTAAGGCTTGGCATAACTATGAGAAAGATAATCTTTGGAATGACCCGGTATGACCCGGTATGACCCTGGTTATCTTTTTATCGTCACCTTTGCAATTCATTGACCACATCATCTTCACCTTCATTTCCGACGCTGATCACACTGGATGTTTGGAAAACGTAAATTAGGGCTTTCACAATAACTTATAAGCTTTTGTGTCACTTTGTACACATGATGTAGAGACACACCTTCTTTCGGTGTCGTTTTTATCCCATTGTCAATCAGCAGTTGTTAACGGTCTTATCAAGAGGAAAGAGTAAGATTATCCAATTTTGCACCAATCATGCTAATTAATTACCGTTTCAATTTTAATCCAGTTTCCGATACGTCTTCGCCAATTATGTGGGGCCTGGTGACCATTAATTAACACAATAAAACCGTCAGCAGTTCGTCTTAATTGTGTTATCCAAATGTTTTGTAGGACACAGAAGAAAATTACAGTTCCTTAATCTTTTTGACTAGAATGTGGCAGTAAGCTTTAAGTAGTTATGTCATTTGTTTATTGAGAAAAGGCATACAAGCCGCCTTGTTTACAAATATATTAATGCTAATAACTTATGACCTTATTCTGAAATAAATTAATATTTACCACTTCGCTTTTTGTCTTAGATATTTGATATTTTATGTAAAAAACATCAATCTCTCTAAATTGTAAGTAATAATACATTTTTATATTATATTCTATAAACTTTGTAAAAAAAAAATCAAAGGTTACCATACTGAATTTTAAATGTCTTTACTACTTTTAAATGTTTTACAATGCGTAGCTCTCTATGATATTAAATCGAATTTGGGGTTGCAACTTTTCAATTATAATTTAAGGCAATTCAAGCCATTTTCACTGTAAATGTACGCTGGTGCTTTGGCGGGAAATTCGAAATAGGAAAATGATGTGTGTTTTGTAATGTCGTCTGTATCTCAAAAGTAGAACATGTATCAACCTCTTCATTTGGAGTTTAATTTAATTAACGAGTTATTTTCTTTCCAATCTTTTTTTCAGCTGAATAGGATTTATTATATTATAGAGATGTTTACCTTCTGTCGTTTGTACTGTAGAAAAATCATCACATTTTGCCTTCGTAATTTATGAAAATGAAAACTATTTCAAAACCAGACATTTTTTCAAAATGGAAACATGTGCCAAACCCTTTGTACATATTGGTTTTGAGATTTAAAAAAGAATGACTGGTGAAATTTAACTAAAATTGATTGGAATGTATATAATAGGTTGTTTTTTTCTTCAGGGGAACACCCTTCTACAAACTATGACTTCGTTGCAATGATTGTAAATAACATACAAATCTTACGTATTGCTGCTTCTACAAGTTTCTAGATATTAAAACAAAAACACGGTGACGGGACACCGATTTGCTGCGCATGGATATATTTTGTATCATTAATAAATCTTTTATGTTGCCTGTGATTTCAATCGCCGTCACTAATTTGCTGCGTACAAGAATTTAGAGATATATTTTCGTCTTGAAGTAATACATTTAACGTTCGTCTGTTTCATGTGGTGTCATCATGCATACATTTGTTTTAAGAGATTTTTGTAGTGATGCTTTCTTTGTCGCTGGCAGGCAATCTCGCTTGAACTGTCAGAAAATCATCTTTTAAAATTTTGATTGCGTTATTGAATTTCTCCTTTGCATCCCTTTACTATAGAGCTTCTTTTAAATCAGGGTAGGAAATATGGTACGGTCAAACATGGCTTCCATTTAGTTTTCTGGAATTGAGCATTTGATTAACAAATAGATCTATACTCTATCCTTATGATACTGTCAAGTTACGAATTAATCCCTACTTTCTCTCCCTTTTTTTGTTTTCTCTTTTCTTCTTTTCCTCAATCGTCATGGTTATTCATCAATGTTATCTCTCTCTCTCTCTCTCTCTCTCTCTCTCTCTTTCTTTACCCCTCTCTCTCTCTCTCTCTCTCTCTCTCTCTCTCTCTCTCTCTCTCTCTTTACCCCCCCCCCCCTCTCTCTCTCTCTCTTTCCAACGCCTTTTCTCCTTGTCAAAGCCTAATAAGGGTTCCAAGAAGGACAATAAAAAAATTATGTAGACAGTGCCTTATGTAACTGTCTTTGAATCGCATTTTCACTTTTTTTCCAGATCAATACTGTAAAATTACTATCTAGCGATGTTTTGACGAAATGAATACTTAGAAGAAGAAAAAAAATCTTTGAATCTATCATGTTAGCTCGCAAGTATGGTCATTTGGAGGAATGTTTACATTTTCTAACATGACGTTAAGTCGCTGAAACATGCACAAATTATTGTAATTCTTATAAAAAATGAAATTATAGATTGAACACGATTTATCTTAAATAAGTTTCATGTTGGATTAAGCCGCATTTCTATATTAAATAAGTAATAATCACCAATTAGAAATCATAGCCTTCAAAGTTGGCATGCTAATGACCAGTCATTGATATTGATTAAGATAATATTTAATGTGTTTCCGTTTCCTTTAATTTTATCTCATGATGTATTATATTCCTTGTTATTCCGATGATTTAGATTAATTTGGTAGAAAGAGATATTCTTTTGTAATTTATACGTTAACATCTCCTTCTCCTTTTACAATAAACACACTATTTTGTGCAATTATTGTCTACTTTTAAAATGTGTATTTAAGGTTAGTGTATTTTGTTCTATATCATCACGTTCTTACTAAAGATCGCTGTTGCAATTATTGTTTTACCAATGTTAACCTTGGTAAAGAAAATCATTTTTGAATTGTAACTTAGTATCACGATAACCCGTGGATTTAAAGTAACATTTTTTGTTTTCATTCTGTCATGTTTTGAAGGGTGTGTTTATATTTCGGGTATATATATTTTCAACCGTTTAGTTCGATGAGCGTTATATTCATCAACTTTTGTGAAGTTCCAATAATTAAGGAATTTATTTGAATTTGTTGGTGTTGGGAGGTGAAAGAGAAAATTACAAAAAGGCATGTACATAATATTTCACATTATTGTCTTGAGAAATAAATTATACTTGGAATTACTCACTTAAAAAGCTGTGTTCTGGATATTTTGTATTTTGTTTACTATATTGTTGTTATATCTTTTTCATTGCTCCATCGTCTATATTTAAGATGATTTGGACGTGAAGATGGTATTCTGAATTACTTAGGGTAATGATGAACATGATTGGAATCTTGGTGATGGTGATTATGATGATGGTGGTGATAATGATGATGAGGTGATGATGATGATGACGATGATGATGATGATGATGATGATGATGATGGTGATGGCGATGATGATGATGATGGTGATGATAATGATAATAATGATGGTGATGATGATGGTGGTGATAATGATAATAATGATGGTGATGATGATGATAATGATAATAATGATGGTGATGATGATGATAGTGGTGATGATGTTGATAGTGATGGTGATGGTGTGATGACGGTGTTGGTGATGATATTGATGTGGATCTCGACGACGATGATGATGGTGGTGATACCGACAATAATGATGGTGATGATGATGATGATGGTGATGATAATGATGGGTGGTGGTGGTGTTGATAACGGTGACAATAGTTGACAGTCCATCTAAGCACTAATGATCATGTTTGGCACTAATGATTTTATGTTTAAATAACTGATATTTTCCCCAAAAAATTGTGTCCTACCCGATCTCTCTCTCTCTCTCTCTCTCTCTCTCTCTCTCTCTCTCTCTCTCTCTCTCTCTTTTTCTCTATTCCTACTTCTTTCTATCAGATGAGATAATGATCCAAATAAATGAAATTACAATTTTGCCCATGAAGTGGGAATTGTGTTCTTCTTCTTTTCATGATGACATTGTGCTAACAATTATGATTAATTCTTAAAAGATAAAGTATATCTTCTCAGAACTTTATTGATCAATCTAAATAGTCTGAGAAAGTATAATGTTGTCCATCAAGAATAAATCATGTTGTCACAATCAATTCGTAAAAAGAGGTAAAGAAAATATATTCCAACTGTAAAGGCAACAGTATACAATACATAATCAATGGTTACATCTAGTACATGTGTATATCTTCGTCCATTTTCGACAAGAAAGAAGGGAGGGGGGTAATACCCTACCAATTAACTATGTACTCGCTGAAAACAAAAGGCCTTCTCATCTTTCAAAAGCGAGGGATCCCTTGTTTGACAGCTCGTGTCAGCGCCCTGCACGTCAACCCCGGCACGTCGTCACCTCTTCGGCGGGCGGACGACAATGGGGAAAAGTACATTGACTGCAGGAGAGGGAGGGGATAGAGAGAGAGAGAGAGAGAGAGAGAGAGGCGGGAGGGGGCAGAGGGACAGTGAAAGGGAGAGAAAGAGAGGGGAGAGAGAGAGAGATAGAGAGAAATAAGGGTAGCAGAGAGGAGGAGATATAGATAGATAGAAGGAAAGTGGGGGACACACCCCCTATGGAACCAGTCTTGTAACGGTTGGGCTTTTTAAATCGTGTATGAATAAAGATATCAATTCAATTCGATACATATGGAGAAAGAGGGGGAGAGAGAGAGAGAGAGAGAGAAAGAGAAAGAGAGATCAAAAGAGAGAAAAAAGGAGGGGTGAGAGAGAGAGATGGAGAGGTATGGCACCCCGGTGGTTGACGATGTACGTGATTAACGACCTCCGAATTGATGCACATGATCATTGTACGTAATCGCGGTGACAGTGATGGAAGGATGATAAAGAGACGGCGAAGGAGAGAAGCAGACATGATGATGGGTGGTGGTGGTGGTGATCATGGTGATGATGATGATGATTATTATTATATTGAGGAGCAGCAGGAGCAGGAGAAGGATGAAGATGATGATAATAATGATGATGATGATGATGATGATGATGATGACGATGTAGACGACGAGGAGGCTGCTGATGATGATGATGACGATGACGATGACGATGACGACGACGACGACGACGAAGATTCTGCTGGTGCTGATGATAATTGGAGATGTGTGGTAGTGGTGGTGGTGGTGGTGGTGGTGGTGGTGGTGGTGGTGGTGGTGGTGGTGGTGGTGATGGTGGTGGTGGCGGTAGTGGTGGTGGTGATGATGATGAAGATATAAATGGTGAAAATAAACTTCTTCTTTTTTAACAAATCAAAAATGAAAATAAACTTATTATAATGATAATGACGACGATGATACTTGTTTTGATTTCCCTTGCCCCAGTACATTGACTTATCAAGTATGTGGATGTTGCTATATCAGGCATGCTTTTATCAATCATTTGCACTCAACAAGTTGCAATCACATTGTTGTAAATGGAAAATTAATGAGCGGGAAAGAAGCAATCAAGTTGTTCCCAAAGAGAGATGTTAGCATGGACGATAATTTCTAGCCAATACTATCATTATTTCAATTTTCCCCAATGATGAATTATGATGGTAATAAAAGTACCTTTAAAAAAATATAAATTAGAAGGAACGCTTCTTTCAAAAAGAGAGACGTTAGCATGGACGATAATTTCTAGCCAATACTATCATTATTTCAATTTTCCCCAATGATGAATTATGATGGTAATAAAAGTACCTTTTAAAAAATATAAATTAGAAGGAACGCTTCTTTCAAAAAGAGAGACGTTGGCATGGACGATAATTTCTAGCCAATACTATCATTATTTCAATTTTCCCCAATGATGAATTATGATGGTAATAAAAGTACCTTTTTAAAAATATAAATTAGAAGGAACACTTCTGTCATATCTGTGGCAAATTATTAATCTACCATGTGGTCGCCAAAGGACGTATGTTATCATTTGTCTCGGAACTTTTTTTAAATACATAAAAACCTTGTTATCTTGGGTGACTACACTTTTGAAAGTAGTTTGAATTACAGAGATTTTATGCGAAATTGCAAAAATCGATTCATCATATTTGACAGTGATAGTTTCAAATATTGGTATGTACTAGAAGTGGTGAGACGTGTGATTGCACTTTTATGCATCTAAAAGTAAAATGCGATGAAAATTAACAACCGTACGTTTTTCCTCTTCATGAATATCAGAATCGGTAATAAAACTGCAATTTTCAATTTACTAATCGATTTTTTTTTTTATAGATACGAATGTGTGATATGAAACAACCACAAGAGAAAATATCACCATTCTAGGAAGTACACTTAAGATAATGATATTACAAATAATAAAAAGAGTTCTTAGAAACATTACGAGAATCAAAATAGAATTTGTATAAAATCATTGTTTTTCACCTCCCCCTCTTTCCTTCCATGTCTATTTGTCTTTCTCTCTCTCTCTCTGTTTTTACTGTCTGTCTCTGTCTGTCTCTCTCTATCTTTGCATCGATTCTCTTTACTTTTCTCTGTGCCTCATCTCTCTCTCTCTCTCTCTCTCTCTCTCTATATATATATATATATCTCCGTCTCATCCCCTCCTCTCCCTCCCCTCTTTCTCCCCCGTTACTTCTCTCTCTCTCCCTCTCTCTCTCTCTCTTTCTCTTTCTCTCTCTCTTTCTCTCACACTCTCACACACTCTTTCTCTGTGGATGTCTAGATGTCTGACTGTCTTTCAACTATCATGTTTTTTTTCCTTACCTTGATTTTCTTTCATATTATATCTTACTTTACCGAGGTATGCACACTGTGAACGTGCTTTAAATTCGCCCTTCTTTCCTTCTTTATGGTTTGACACTTAACTTCTTTCATTTAAAATCTTGCGCTTAACTGGAGTGTGAATTTTGCTGGGAAAACTTCTACTAAAACGAGATTTTACCAAGCAGTGAAAATAAATAATTCAACTTCGATAAAATAATCCATTGCGAGATGATTGGGAGTTGGGTACCAAAAGGGTAGCCTCACAATTTTTGTGCTTTCTGATTTGTGTGTGTTTTTATACTGTAAAGTACCGTGGAAGTGACTTGTAAACTAACCAGATGAATGATTGTGATTTGCTGTCTCAGCTAGACTGCTTTGAGAAGATATCAGTCATTTTTCTTCAAGTGACCAACAGTCAAAACTTTGGGGTTTTTTTTTCTCCCTTTGCATGGTACTGGACTTGAGGCACCATATAATAGCCGAACTCTGATTGATCTCATTCTTACAAACTCAACACATAGTGTACCTGCTAGCTTAAACCTAGAAGATTGTCCCGAGACCGAACCTCTCAAACTGGCTAATGCATTTAATCAGTTCTTTGTGTCGATCGGGAGCGAACTTGCTTCCAGATACCCCCCTACAGAATATACACCCACTTCTGATGACGGACCCGAATCATGTCATAATTGCTTTTCATTTGTTGATGTGCAAGAAGATTTTGTGCTTAAAGAGTTACAATCCATTAAAATTGATAAGGCAACCGGCTTAGATGGAATCAGTGCCAGGCTACTGAAGCTAGCTATTAGCAAACCAATTACCAGATTGTTTAATCTATCTCTTAGATTGGGAGTAGTCCCTCAAGAATGGAAACAAGCAAGGGTTACCCCCATCCATAAAGGCGGGGACAAGGACAATGCGAACAACTATCGCCCAATATCGATCCTACCAACAATCATGAAGGTACTGGAAAAGGCTGTGCACTCCCAGCTTCATGATCATTTGTTAGAGTTTGACTTGCTTAATGCTCAACAGTCAGGTTTCCGAAAAGGTTACTCAACGAATACCTTATTGACATAATATGTTAGCGATAACCTGCACAGGAATATTGATAGCGGTAAATTAACAGGGATCGTATTTTTAGATATACGAAAGGCCTTTGATTCCGTTGACCATAGCAAGTTGCTCGAGAAGTTATACACATAATGGTGTACGTGGTAATACACTATCGTGGTTTGAATCGTACTTAAGAGTTCGTTATCAGTGCACATTGGTGCAAAGGGCAAGATCTGATCTACAGGTTCTCCAGTCAGGAGTACCTCAAGGTTCTATACTCGGACCCCTGCTGTTCACCCTCTTTATGAATGATCTGTCCTATAGCGTTGAACATATAGTGAGGTGATGTTGTATGCCGATGATACGGCAATTATGTTCAGTGCCTTAAACCCAAAGGAGATAGAGAGTATAAT